CTCCGTAGAGTCGTCTTGGTACAGTCACCCTCGGCCCGTCCCTCTCACCTGATTGGGAATGGACCTCTTGTGCTCCCGTGGGAGTCCCCTCATGTCTGTCTTTCCAGTTCCTGGCCACCACCTTTGTCCAGGCCTCACCTCACCTCTGGACTATGACCAAGCTCACGCGTACACACACACACACACACACACGTGTACACGCACACACACGTGTACATGCACATGTGAAAGCTTCTGGTTTTGCTGTCCTGAGACTTTCTCTTAAAAACCAGGGTGCACACCTTCACCAGGGGATCCTTCTAGATCCATGCTCTACTATACCACACTGCTTTGCTCCGATTAACAACCTTCACTGGCTCCCTTGTCAAAGCAAATTCCAAATCTTGAGCAGGGCATTCACACTGACTGCCGTGTCCTCCCTGTCACATCTCCCAGAATTCCAGACCAGCTGCGGTAGCCCAACTGGCCTCTTCATTGCAGCCCAAAGAAGCAGCCACCCTGCCTCCGTGCCGGTGCTTATCCTGGTTCTCCAGCCTCCAGTACTCTCCTCTCCCTCCGTTGTTTGCTTCCCCGAGCCCTTTCCTGCCCGTGGGTGTCCCCTTACCTCTAGGATGCTATTTCAGCAGAGCCCAGACCACTGTGACCCTTCTCTCCTCTGAAACCCGTTGGAGAACCTACTATCTGTGACCCTGGGCCATCTATCTACCTTCCTCAGCCTCAGTCTTGTTTTCTGTAAAATGGGTGTGGTAATAGTCCTGCCCCATAGGGTTGTCGTGCAGGTTAAAAGAGGTAAAGCATATGATCACTTAGTGCGGTACGTGGCACAGAGCCTCAAGGCAAGTATTCATTAGATCAAAGGTAATAGTTTTAATAATTGAGATTGTGATTTTTATTACCGTATGATGCTCTGTGTTGTTTTAATCTGACTCTCTTATGAGGGGTAGACCTCTTTAGGATGGAGATTGAGTCATGTGATACTCACTGCGATGCCGTCAGCACCAAAGACCCCAGCACATGTTTGTTGACAGGGGTGAGCAAACCCCAACCTGCGTGTCGGAAGCCCAGTGTTGGTCTTTGCTCTGCCAGCAGCTCAGCGTGTGGCCTGGGCTTATCCGCCTGGAGCCTCAGTTTCTCCCACCCCGCATCATCCCTGAGGTTCTGTTTGACTGGCTCCAAATCTAAGCCCCGAATCACTTCTCTGTGTGAATTTGTCCTTTAATCCTCTTGGTCCTCAGTTTCTTTTTTTTTTTTGAGACAGAGTTTCACTCTGTTGCCCTGGCTAGAGTGAGTGCCGTGGCGTCATCCTAGCTCACAGCAACCTCAAACTCCTGGGCTCAAGCGATCCTTCTGTCTCAGCCTCCTGAGTAGCTGGGACTACAGGCATGTGCCACCACGCCCAGCTAATTTTTTCTATATATTTTTAGTTGTCCAGATAATTTCTTTCTATTTTTTTAGTAGAGACGGGGTCTCGCTCTTGCTCAGGCTGGTCTCGACCTCCTGAGCTCAAACGATCCGCCTGCCTCGGCCTCCCAGAGTGCTAGGATTACAGGCGTGAGCCACCACGCCCAGCCAAGTCCTCGGTTTCTTTACCTGTGAAATGGGGAGAATAATCTCGTTTTACTATTGGCTATGGGAATAAATGAGGTATTGTTTATAAAATGCTCACCTTGGTCCTCAGTTAGTAGTCGCACTGTGGTGGCTTTATCGTTGCTGTTGCTAAACACTAGGCTTGTTGACTGTATTAGTTTCCTGGAGCTGCCATAAAAAAGTACTGCAGGCTGCAAGCTGGGTGGCTTAAACCGCGGACATTTGTCGTTTCACAGTTCTGGAGCTTAGACGTTCAAAATCACAGTGTCCACAGGGCTGATTCCTTCTGAGAGCTGCGAGGCAGGATCTGTTCCAGGTCCCCCTCTTAGCTTCTGGCAGCCCCAGGCTTGCAGATGGCATCTTCCCGGGTCTGCACATCCTTGTCCCTCTGTGCGTGTCTGTCTCTGTGTCCAGATTTCCCCTGTTGATACGGACACGAGTCATATTTGATTAGGACCCACCCTAATGACCTCATCTTAACTTGATTACCGCTGTAAAGACCCTGTTTCCTGATAAGGTCACTGTTAGGCTTAAAGAATTCACCCTCCCCAAACTTCCATCCAAACCTCCATAAAACCCACCACTCTCCCCTTCCTAGGGGTGTGTTAGGAGGTAGCCTTTGCCAGACCCCTCGGGAGATGAGTGAAACGCAGGAGGGAACTTACTTTCCTTATCCCTCCTGATAAGGACGAGGCTTATCCCTCCCCACAGGGCTCCCAGGAACTGGTTGTTTTGAAAGGAATTTATTACAGCGGCTGTTCTGGCCCAGTTGCTCACTCCCTCCGGAAAAACCTCTATAAAACCCAAGGCTCTCCCCTCCCTCGGTGTGGATGCTCTTTTCAGCCTCCCCTGTCTGCACCCAGATCTCAGATAAACAGCATTTTGCTACACCTGAGGCTTCGTGTGTCTCCCTCTCGGCTCCGGACCTAACAGTCACCGTCTGAGGTACTAGAGGTTAGGGCTTCAACAGACCTTCATGCTGCAGGACACAATTCAGCTGATAACGTCGAAATACAAAATCACTCAACAGTGATTCCCCATCACTCCTCTGTGCTGGCCACTCACAGTGGTTCTTTTGACTGAATGTGGTGAGGGGATTTCGTTTTGACAAAGGTGTGCTTCTTTCCGCAAAGCAAGTCCCAGAACCTTTGTCCCGAGTGGTATTTCCCACATGTGCTTCTGGAATTGCAAGTCTATCGTTTCTGGGTCGTGACATTTTTGTAGGGCCCCTAGGATGGAAATAACACACCAGCTCTCAGGCAGTTGGCATCCTTTCTCTGTTTTTATGGCACTCTGCAAACTTTCGTGCTGTTTACATACGATTTATATTCCTCTGGTGGTCCCTAAATGGATGTAATAAAAACGGATTTAGAATATTAATCTGTCTTGGTTCAGGCCAACATGGTCTAATATAAATTTATTTACTGGGGATGGTGAAAAATCTGAGAGGATAGAGTGGGAATATGTTCTTAGCAAATATTTCTTGTTGGCTGCTATGGCATGGTTTTCCAAAGCGCAGTTTCTGGATTCCCTGTGTTGTTAGTGGAAACTGCAGATTTCCAGGCCCTACCCCTCCTCTGCAGGTCCTGTGTCTTTGGGGGAGGAGTCCTAGGATTTGCATTTCTATTGAGCCTCCCATGGTCAGAGTGGTTCTGGCCCACCCTGCGGAGATTGAGAACCACCAGTCTCTGGTGTCCTCCCAGAAGGAAATGCATTGTGTTGTTTGAGTCAGCTGAGTCACAAAGCGTGAGTCTGTCCAGGGCTGAGGGCGTGGAGGGCCTGGTGGCAGGTGTGGGGCAGAGGCCCAGGGATGGGCTGTGGGCAGGGGGGAGTCCAGGCGCCACGACGTGGACAAATGTGTCCTGTCTATTGAGAGGTGACATCTGCCGAGTGCAGTGAAAAGACAGTGGATTTCAGGTGCCACAGGGGACCTGTGAAGGTTGCCGGCCTATGTACTGTTGGCAGGTGGATTGAGCTTGGGAGTGGATCTCTGGCAGCCCCAAGGTGTGGAACTCTGAGCACCATGCCTGTCAGAGACTCTGGCAGCTGGGGAGAGTTGGGGGAGTAGGAGGTTTGGGGGGCTGGCCTCTATCCCTGAGGGCCCTCAGAGCCAGTTGGGGAGTTGTGTGCAAACTCACATTTCTGAGCTCAACCAGCCCTTCTGCATGCTCTGGGAATCTGTATTTTTAAAGATCCCCAGGTGACCTAATGTGACAGTCCCTCAGAACAGCACCTGGAAGCATGAGGGCTATGGAAAGAACTGGCTTTGGGACCAGTGGTCCCTTGGGTTGAGTCCTGGTGCCATGACCTTGATCATGTTACTCACCCACTCTGACCATAGTTTCCTTATCTCTAAGATGAAGATACAAACACTTTTCTTTCTTTTTTTAGTGTTGGGAGAGTGAGGAATACAGGATAAGGGATGTGATACACTTAGCACATTTTCTAGTACACAGTAGGCACCATGAAATGGTGGCTCCAAACCTTGTGAGACCTGAGATTATAGGAAGGTAATTAGGGCAGGATGACAGTCCATTGGGTGCAGGAGTCGATAGAGGGATGCAATGATTGAAATTAGGATATAGGACAGAGCCCTGGCTCTAGACAGTACTGTCTCCTGGTTTCCAGAATTAAAACTAAAGGAAAAAAAAGCAATGAAATGTCAAGGCTTAAGTGGTATTTACCATGCAGGCCAGGCACTATTCTAAGCACTTTAGCACAACCTTATGAGTTAAGTGCTGTTGCTCTCCTCATCTTGCACACGGGAAGATGGGGGCTGGGAAAGGTGTGTGCATGGTCACACAACCGCTATGCAGCGGCATCAAGTTTCAGACCCACGCTATCCGGCTCTGGCTGTTCAGCCCCTTGTCCCTGCCTGTTTAAGCCACCTGCATGGTCAGTAGCCTCTGAACCGCAATGCTGAGTCTCAAAAGTAAGCCGGGCCTCAGGAAAAACAGTTCTGGATATTTCTTTGCCATACATTTCTAGCTGTAAAATTGTATAGCCACTCCATAACAAAGTTAGAAAAGCTGGCATTTGTGTAACAGAAATGGAGCTGTAATAAACCTCCACTGTTGCCAAAGGCTTGATAAATTCCAATAGGTAATTCATAACACAAAACTGTCTTGCACTGAAAATCCCTTGGCCACTTTATACTGCATTCTTGGGTACGATCTGATCCCTTTCATGGGTTAACTGGAGCTTCAAAGGGCCTCGCTGACCACTGTTCCTTTGGTCTCACTGATTCAATCCTTATTTGGTTGATACTACTCTGAACGTCTAATCAAGATTTCCTCTACCTACACACGAAGCGTCAGCATTAGCAAATATATTCAGTTTAATTCTGAGACTGTTTTGTCAGAGTTTCAGCCTTTTGTAACATTTCTTCTCTTTCCCTTCTCTCTACTCTCAGGGCATAACCTTCAGTGGCGGTACAAACCGGGCCGCAAGCAAGCCGCCATTCCCGCTCACGCCTTGTCAAGAAAAACAGCTGGATCCATTTCTAATCAACACTTCCCAACACAGCACCCCTGGATCTCTGAAGGGGACCAGACCAGAGTTTGAAACTTTCCAAAGACTTTCAATAGATATCTCATGCAAAAGGATACTTAGGTTGCCTTTGCACAAATCTGGTTGATTTGAGAGACAAAAGAGGAGAAAACAGGTGTGACTTTCACCCCACAAGTCACATGAACATACTCTACATTTAAACGACATAATGAATGATGGTTATCGAAATAGCCCAAACCTCTACCACGGAGCAAGGGATATAGCCCGAGAGGCAACCAGGCAGTCCCGGCACCAAGGAATGGATGACTACAAGTACCAGGACAATTACGAGGGCTATGCCCCCAGTGATGGCTATTACCGTGGCAATGAGTCCAACCCAGAAGAAGATGCTCAGAGTGATGTCACAGAAGGTCATGATGAGGAAGACGAGATCTATGAGGGCGAGTACCAGGGTATCCCTCACCCAGATGATGTCAAGGCCAAGCAGACCAAGATGGCCCCCTCCAGGGCAGATGGCCTTCCAGGCCAGGCAGACCTGATGGCTGAGAGGATGGAAGACGAGGAGCAACTGGCCCACCAGTATGAGACCATCATGGAGGAGTGTGGCCATGGCCGCTTCCAGTGGACGCTCTTTTTTGTCTTGGGTTTGGCCCTGATGGCCGATGGGGTGGAGGTGTTTGTGGTGAGTTTTGCCCTGCCCAGTGCAGAGAAGGACATGTGTTTGTCCAGTTCCAAGAAAGGAATGCTTGGTAAGTGGAAATTTCCAACACTCATTCTCTTTGTGGCATTAAAAATATGAAAGGGAAGGAGAAGTAAAATTTATATTGTACCTGTCATTGTTAGGAACTTTAAATATATTGGTGTATCTATTTTGCTGTTAAGGTATTTTTATCTCAGAGAAATCAATTGATTGGCTTAAGTTTATACAGTGAGTGAGTATCAGAGCCTGGATTCTTATCCAGGTCTGACGTCTGAGCTCTTAGTTGGTTTTCCAAATTTTGTTGCCTCCTTTAGAGTCAGATTTCTCTCTTCTTCAGGTTAAACCATCTTCTGTGTCCAAATGACAAATACATCTTGGCAGTGGCAAGCTAGAAGTCTCATCCACTTGGTCCTTCTCTCTGTGTCTTTCCAGAATCTGATAGCATCTGCTCCTGCTTTCTCTTGTACATAAGTGTTAGTGGGCTGAATGCCCAGGTGCCTTGGGGATGAACAGTGGGCGTGAGCACCCCAGTGGAGCCCCTGCAGGCTGTTGGGAACCATGGAGAGAAGCACAGATGGGTAGAGGACCAGCTTGCAAATCGGTTGTGAGATTAGCACCATCAGAGCCAAGCACCACTATCTGGGCTTGAGGCAGAGAGGATTTTGTGAAGTTAGAGAGAGGATGGGCGCAAATGGTGTGATGTAGAAGACAGTCCCCATTATATAGACAAGGGTTTATCTTGGTCACCAAATATCCTGCAAAACATATCCACTCTCTAAATTAAGGGCCCATGCAATTGATCGTGTAGCAAACATGCTGTTATTGAGAACTAACTACTAGTCAAATTCTCATTCAAGATCAAGACATGCTTTTGCATTCAAGAGTTAAAAATCTGTCTAGCAACTTAGCTCATTCATTCAACAGATATTTATTATGGTCTATAATGTGTTAGTCTCTATGCTCAGGCCCTGGGAAGAAAAGAGTCCTTGCCTCTCTGAGAATTTACATATAGCTGGACAAGCAGGCATTAACAAACAGAATTATTTAGTTACTATAGTGATAAGCACTATTAAATACCTTGTGTGATTGTGGTCCTCCAACACTGGCTTTAGAACAGGGGTTGACAAACATTTCTGTAAAGGTTCAGGTAGTAAATATTTAAGATGTTGCAGACCCAGATGGTCTCTGTCACAACTCAGCTCTGCCACTATAGCATAATGGCAGCCACTGACAACATGTAAATAAATGGGCGTGATTCTGTTCCGATTAAACTTTATTTACAAAAACAGCCAGGGGTCCAGATTTAGCCTGAGGGCTGCAGTTTGCTGACCTTTGATTTAGAACCACTATAAATAAGATTGGAATATAAAATAAAGAAAACATCTGCATAAAGAATTGTCCCTGGGAGCTTTTAAAAATTGTTTTACACATTTGTGCTTAACTAAAGGGCCATTTAAAATAATGAGAACTGTGTCAGATATGACCATTAGGGAATCCAAGGAGACTGAGTGCATACAGGCAGAAGAAATGGCTTGAGAAGCAAGGATATCACCCAGAGTTTTTAAACACCAACAGAATTTTAATACAGTTCCTTTTCATATTAAAAAAAATTCTGGTAGCTGCCTTTAAGTATAAATAGTAGATTTTTTTAAAGGAAAAATACGAAGAAAGAAGCAAACAAAAACCCAAAACAAAACAAGACTATCCCCAGCTGATCTAAACATTTCCAAGACATTAATTTGTTTTGTGTTTTCCCCAACGAAACCCTGGGTCCCTGTTAGTCCAAATTGGCAATGTCAGTAATGATTTCATGCCCTGCTGGTCTTGCTGGCACCACGGTGCCCAGTAACCTCATTAACAGAGCTGCAGTATGGTTGTGGCTCCTGCTGGCTCCCGGGACAAATGCTAGGAGTTGAGGGAACGTGGTTCTAATCTGGAGAGCTTGCATTTGTGCAATTTTGCTTTCAGTTTGCCAAGAAGATGCTATGACTCAGCCCAAGGGGAGCAGGCAGACCATCTGTCAGAGAAGGACTTCCTGGGCACTTGTGGGACCCTCTTTGTGGTCAAGAAAGTGGGCGTCTAAGTGTTTCCAGGGAAGTGGATGATCTGAGGCTCTCTTGCGGCCAGAATTTCCACATGCTCTCACAACCTTCAGAGTCACCAAGGAGATGATTTTTATCCTCGGGTATAAACACAAGGAAACAGATCCAGAGAGTTTTTCTAAGGTCACACATCTAGTAAGTGCTGAGCGCAAAGTCTGTGCTCATTCTGCGTCACCATACTGCCTCTCTCTCATGCCTGGTCTGTGGAAAGGAAGCCTGGCCATGGCACAGGCTTCTGTGTCATCGGGCACCCTGTAGATATTGTTTAGAACGCCATGGATTGCTTCCGGCAGAAAGGGAGCACAGTGTGGTGAATGTGGTGTGAGCTCTGGAGACTGACCTCTAGGGTTTGGCAACTGGGTGTATCATTTATCAGCTAGTGACCTTGGCTCGTTACATTTAATAACTCCTCTAATTCTCAGTTTTTCCACCTGTGGAATAAGACTAGTAATACCTTGTCATGAGGACTGAATGAGATAATGCAAGTAAAACAACCAGTACCCAGTGCCCCTACACAACTATTAGTTCTTGTTACTTTGTATTCTGACGTTCTCCCTTCTGGCGTTTGCAGTGAGTTCTAGTTGCAGTGAGATGATGGACTAACAGGACCCTGGAGCTGGTGCTTAGGATTCGATCCTTGCTGTGCCAATTCCCAGTAGGGTGATTTCTGGAAAGTTGCTTAGCTTCTCTGTGCCTTAGCTTCCTTGTCTGCAAAATGGAGATAATAATGGTATCTACTTCATAGCGTTTTTGTGAGGATTAAATACATTTAATGTGTTTAACTTGGCTAAAACAGTGCCTGCACATAATAGGTGCTCAAGAAATTTTAGTTATTGTTATTGCTGATTATGGTTGTTATTATTACTGAACTGATGGCTTGTTAATGGTGAGCCACCCAAATTCAGAAACTAATTTCAGTTTCAATTCAGGTGACATTGCAAATTTCTTTCAGCCAATTTTTTTTTTTTATTGCAGACTTTTAAGGTCAAGCTTACCCTACCCTAGTGGTGCAAAGGTCCTTTGCGTTTGACTGCTAACCCAGTTCTTTCTCTCTTTTCCCTTCCTCTCTGTTTTAAAAAAGAAACTCTCTGAAAGTGATACATCTGGGCTTGGCTCCCACTTGATGTCTAGGAAGAGAATTCAGTAAGAGAACTCCCACCCCTAAATTCAAGTCTCAAATCATAGAATATTTTGTTACTTTCTTCCTGGAAATAAATGAATCAGTTCAGAAAATAAAAAACTTGTCCCTTGCCCAGGTGACAAAAATATCTGGGTGCTATGGTGCCACTTTTCTGAGCTTTTAGAAGAATGCAAATTTGCTTCTCTCAAGCATTGTGTTTTAGTGGGTCTCTCATCTAGAAGTGTCTCACTTGAGGAAGAAAAAGGTCTGTGAGCATGTTGGCATTGAAGGCTCAGCCTTGCTTAATATCCAGAGGTTGGTCTCCTTCAAGACAATGAGAATGCATTCATTTGTTAATTAAACTCTTCATCCATTCTTTTTCTTAAAAATTATTGGATATTACCACATGCCTGTATTCCTCTGGTTTAAGCAATACAAGAAGACAAAGTCCTGGCACTTAGTGAGTTTCGTTCTAACTATGGAAATAGAGGTCACGCACAAAAAATAAAAATACAAACAGCACAATACAGTTGTGCAATGTGACATTTGATCTTATCACTCTTATTCACAAAGGGAGGAAATGAAGACAGGGGAAGGGATAGAGTCTGAGGTTGGGGGGTTTCGAGAGGTAGGGGACTTGTTTTTGCACCTGCTCTACTATTTAATGTTTATGTGACTTTGGGCCAATCTGAAGTCTCCCTTCTGAGATCTCACCATTTTAGGTGGTTAATGAATGAACCCACATTTCTTTTGATCTCCTTTGATGTAATATTTAAGCATGTTCTGGGTATATGTAAAAAAAATCACCCAAAGAAATGAGTTTTAAGGTAGGAAAGTTCAGGGATACCTGGCACAGCAAGCCATTTGTTCTTTCCAATGACATTGAATTGTTGGTATGTCAGGGCCTGTTTCCTTGTAGCCCGATGACAATATTGGCAGCATGTAAGACACACCAACAGCATCCTTCTGTGTCTGCATTTGATCAATTGACATCAAAGTTTTTTCATAATTGTAAAAATAACCCTCCTTCCCGGAACTGTGGGCTATTCCCTACCTTCATGCCTGTTGAAGGAAAGAAAGCTCCACTTTCAGGCCAGAGTTCCATGTGTTGCCTGAAGAATTTTGATTTCTTGGAAGAGTCTAGTCACTTGGCATGTATTTTATTGGCTTTCGTATTTCTTGCCATCTGCAGTGAAAGACTTGGGGAGTTCTACGCTTCAGACAGTGATTTAGAACCTAACAGTTGCCCCTGGGGCTTGGTGTCTATGCCAGCTACGTGGAAGACACGGAGCAATGTCAGATGGGGCAGAGTCATAAGAATAAATTGTGAGTTGAATTTTCATAGCAGCTCAGAGATGGATGTGTTACTCTGCTGTCATGAAAGATCATCCTTTAATTATTTTATATGTAAATTCTAGCTGAACATTTGAGTTATGAGCTACTTTTTCTTTAGCCCTGAATTCAGAGTGTCAGTTCCTGAAAGGAGGAGCTACTCTGTGTCCTGGGGGGTCACAGCTTTGGCACAAAATATGTGCTCAGTAAATACATACTCATGATGGTGAAATCCACCATTAGGGATTTTCATATATTCCTTTTTGTGTTTGATTTATATCAGCTGTTCTTATTTATATTGTTTAGACCATGAATTCTTTAGAATGGAAGGAAAGATAAGGGCTCCCTTAACGGAGCACACACAGGTTGCCATGTTTAGGAGGGTGGGCTTAATTCCACAGGCAATAGAGAGCTGCTCAATGGGAAGCTATGAAAAGCCTTTGAGGAAGGAAGTGATAGGATGGGGTCTGTGGTTTAGGCTGATCCCTCTACCCC